TAGATGTTTGAAACTGGCTCTTACAAGATCACTAAGGGTCATGAAAACTGATTTTAGGGTATTTGTTGAGTGCCAACTGAGGGCAGGGCACTCAATTGGGCATTTGGGTGAGAGGACACAAAGGACTCATAGGATCACTGAATTTTAGAACTGAAGGAGACCTCAGGGACTATCTTGTCCTACACTCTGATTTTGCAGATGAGGAAACTGAGGGCAAGAGAAAAGTGACTTTGGCCAAGATCACATAGCTATTAAATAACTAAAAAATAAAATAAAGAACCAAGACAGGAACTCAGGTCTGTGAGTCTTTCCTTACATGATGCCCAGTCCCTGATTTTAATTGGTTCACTTACAGTTTCTAAGAATCTTGCCTCTCAGTCCTATAGCTAAGAGTTCTGGGAAAGTCACAGCTTTGACAAACAGAGCCCACTGGCATAGGGAGAGATTCAGCTTCAGGGGAAGAGGTCCTAAATTTCTGAGTACAATGACATTTCTCCAAAGCTTATACACACAGGTTCATTGACTCTCTTGCAGAAAATGGCAAGCAGGAAAACTGCGCCGATCGGTGGCCCCAGGTAACTGGTGATGGACTGGATATAGTCAAAGAGCTGCCCACTCTGAGCCGACTGCACAACAGGGACCCAGGCAATGCTGACACCAATTAACACCAGGATGAACAACCTGTATGTGAAACCAGCACATGAAAGTCAGGAGACCTAATCCACTTAATGGGTCAATCAAAACACATACAAGTAGCCAAAGGTACAAAGGTACCCAATATTGGCAGCAGTGAAAAAGAATAATGAACAAGTCCATTAATTAGCAACCCATTTTCCTGACTATTCCCAAAGCTAATCACTGTTTTGAATGGAATCTTCTGCCTCTGGGAAATCATCTGTTCCAATAGTAAATGAAAATGTGTTTGACTTTCCCCAATAACCACGTTTTCTAGCAGGAACTCAAGCTCAGTCATTGCTTACCTGTACAGTCAAAGCACAGAATCTTTAGCTAATTAACAATTAACCTTCACAGAGGGAGTTCTTTACCTCATGCTTTCCTGCCTCTACTGATATTATCTGGTACAACTCCCTCATTTTGCAGATGGATAAACTGAGGCCCAGAAAGTAGAAGTGGCAGAGGTCCCACAATTAATCATATACATCAAGGAGTCCAAAGACAGAAAGATAGGTCCCATGTACACCAGTATATTCATAGTGGGACTTTCTGTGGCAATAAAGAACTGAAAACAAAGGATATGCCCATTGATTGGGGAATGACTAAACAAATTTCAGCACATGAATGAATGGAATATTACTGTACCATAAAAAATACTGGATATGAAAAAGCATGAAGCATAAGAAAACTGATATGAACTGATGCAGAGTGAAGTAAGTAGAGTGAGGACAGTAATTTATACCATGAATAAAATGATGGACATGGGGCATGGGGAAGAATCTGAAACTGACAGCTATGTGATTGTAATGACCATGTTTGGTCCTGGAAAAAAAAATGACAAAATGCACTTCCCTCCCTTCATTGCAGCTGAGACATTATGAGTGTGGAATATTGCATACACTAGCAGTCCTGGTAAATGTTCTGTTTTGCCTTTTTTTCTTTCTGTTTTTATTTTTTGGAGATACTTCTTTGGGGCAGGGAGTGATGAAAGGCACAAATGGAAATGAAAAAAACAATACAACTTTTTTGAAAACTAATGAAAGGAATGAACTGCCTCAGGATGTAGGGGTTTCCCTATCAGTGGAAGTCGTCCTGCAAAGGCTGGATGATCACTTGCTGGGGACGTTTGACCAGGACAGGGATTCTTGGATTGGTCTAGAGGGCTTCTGAGTTCCCTTTCAACTTGGAAGTCCTGGAATTCTATTAAATGGAATAAAAGGGACATTGGAGAGCACTGGAGAAAGTACAGGGCTAGGAGGAATGAAACCAGCAGTGCATACACTAATAATAGTGAACATATATGTATAAATATATGTATGTAGTGATTTCTATGTGCCAGGCAATGTGCTAATTGCTTTACAAGTATTATTTCATTTGATTCTCACAACAACCCTGGGAGGTAGATGCTATTATTAACCCCATTTTACAGAAGATGAAACTGAGGTAGACATAGGTTAAGTGACTTGCCCAGGGTCACACAGATTGCAAGTGTCTGAGGCTGAGAGCCCCAGATTTGGAGGCAGAGGACATAGGTTTGAATCGCTACTACCTGGGTGACCTTGGGCAAGTGATTTCTTCTCTCTGAGTCTCCATTTCCCCACTTCTAAAAGAGGTAGTTGGACATGTTGTGGTAGAAATAGACATAGAATCTGAAGACTTGTGTGAAGACCTAGCTGTGACACCTACTAGGTGTGAAGTCCTGGTCAGGTCACAACCATTCTCGTGTTTCATTTTCCTCATATGAAAAATGAGAGGAATGCACTAGCTTGTCTCCAAGGACCCTTCTAGATGTAACATTTTCATTCTATGACCTCATGCTTTTGAAGGTTTCTTTTAACTCTAGACCCAATGAGTCCTAAGAACCTGGGCAAAAGCTTTGAATCTGCTACTAAATTATCATGTGACCTGGAAACCTTCACTCTCTGGGTCTCAGTCTTCTCATCTGTAAAATGGGATTCGAGTGATTGATGGATGATAGATCTCTAAGTTCCTTTTTTCTTCTAGCATTCTATGACCTGGTCTAAATCCTGAGGTTGAATGTAACTCCAGAAGAATAGCTTCAGAATTTCCAGATAAAGGCAATGTTCAAGGAGGGAACAAAGTAGCCACACAGGGACACTCATGTCCCCCACAAGCTCTGGCCAGGATGGGAGACATAGGTATGAGAAGGGAGCTGTTGTAGGTCTATCAGGGTACACCTAGTTTTAAGGTCCCTCTCAACCCTGGTTTGCAATGTTCTGCTTTCAATCAATAAGTATGTATTAAGCACCGACTATGTGCCAGGCACTGGGGATAAAAAGAAAGACAATCCCTGACCTTGAGGAGCTCACAATTCAACAACATGCAAACATCTATGTACCAATAAGCTATAGAAGGATAAACAGGAAATCACCAATAGAGGGAGTGCTCTAGAATGGAGAGGTTGGCAAAGGCTTCCTACAGATGGTAAGATTTTGGTTGGCACCTGAAGTAAACCAGGAAAGCAGATGAGGAGGGAGAGTGTTCCAGGCATGGGGGAGGCCAATGAAGGGGAAAGAAGAGCCAGGAGGTGGATGTCACTGGAGCAGAGAGTAGGGTAGGATGGGGGAAAGTATAGGGAGACTGGAAATGAAGGAGGGGCAGGATAGGAAGGGCTTTTCTGTATTTGATTGAGTTGGGGGCGGGGTTGGAACATGGTCAGACCTGTGTGATGGAAAAATCACTTTGGGGCCAGTACAGGATGTACTAGAGTGGGGAGAGACTTGTGGCAGGCAGACCTCCCAGTAGCCATTGCAATATTCCAGGTGTGAGGTGATGAGGGCTTGCACAGAGTAGGGGCAGTGTCAGAAGAGGTATGAGGGCTCATTTGAGCGATGTTCCAAAGGTGAAATGGACAGGCCTTGGCACCAGCATGGTTATGAGGGAGTAAGGGAAAGTCACTGAGTCCAAGATGACTCCCAGGTTGGGAGCCTGGGTGATGGAAAGGGCAACGGTGGCCTCTAGGGTAATAGAGAAGTTTGGAAATAGGGAGGGTTTGGGGGGAAAGATAATAACTTCATTTTGTGAATAAACTGTCTTCCACCTCACTCTACCATTTTAGGCATGAAAGTTCCTCCATGTTGTGACATTCTGTGTTCTCAGGACTCTTCCAGCTCACACATTCAATGTTCGAAGGTCCTTCCTAGCTACCACATTCTAAAGTCCATCCAGGTTCTGACTTAGTGTTGTTCTGAAATCCTTATCAGCTCTGACAATTCATATTCTAAGTCATCTCCCAACTCTAACATTCTATGTTCTGAAATCCTTCTCACTTCCAAAAATTCTGACATTTTGTCCTAAGGTCCCCCCACCAAATTCTGACATGCTATGTCCCAAAGGCTTTCCAAGTTCTGACATTCCATGTTCTAAGGTACCTCTCAGCTCTGGCATTCTGTTCTAAGGTCCTTCCCATCTCAGATAACTTGGTTCTAAGGTCCTTCCTACTTCTGATATTCTCTGTCCTTCCCATCTCAGACAATTTGGGTTCTAATGGGTCCCCTGGCTCTGACACTCTATGACCTGCTAGATTTATGACTTAGACAAAAGGAGCAGACAGTCTCACCTTCCGGCTATCATAAGCTCCTTCTCAGATGCCTTCTTCCGGATTTTGGTGTAGATGTCCATGGTGAACAGAGTGCTGGAACTATTGAAGATGGAGGTGAGGGAGCTCATGAGGGAGGCCATCATGACAGACAACATCAATCCACGAAGACCTACAATACGAGGGAGGCTCCTGAGCTTGGGTCTGGGAGGAGTGCTGTCAGAGGTTGGTCACACAGCTCACAAGTATTCAGCTTATCACGTCCCTTCCTTCCCCCATGACTCTCCCCTCTTCCTCTTTCTCTTCCCCCTACCCCGCCATGTTGATGGCTGTTCCTGTAGCTCTTCAATGATATGACCTTGTAAGCTTTGTGCTCTGAGCTGAAGGAGGCCCTGGGCCTTCAGATGCCAGAAATCAGCCTTCATTGTTCTCCAACTACATGACCACCACAAGTGCCCAAGATATCTGGTTTCTGGTCTTGCCTTGGAAACTACTTTGCTGAATAATAAATAAATAAATTGTGGACTGACTGATTTTGAGAAAAACATCTTCCTCTGTCTGGGTCTGAGTTTCTTCATTTGTATAATCAGACCATCTGATCTCTAAAGTCCCTTCTAAATGTGTTATGGTCTGATGTCTCTCACAGAATCAACATTCTATGATCTAATTTCCCTCCCAAATCCAACTTTCTATGTTCTAAGGTCCCTCTGAGATCTAACAATCTGTCTGAGATCTCTCCCAGCTCTAAGGCCTCTCCCAGCTCTGACATTCCCTGTTCTAAAACCCTTCCTTACTCTTAAGGACAAACCCAGCTTTGGCATTCCATGTTCTAAGAACCCTCTCAACTTTGTCACCCTATGTTCTAGGATTCTATGACTTCATGCTTGGTACTGAACAGTGAATACAGCAAAGTACCTCCCTCAGTGAGCTTACAGTCTAATGGGGGGAAACTTACCTATGTGACCCTTGCCCCCCAATGAGACTGCAAGCACCTTGAAGGCAAGCCCCCTGTATACTTTATGGCATTCCGCAGCACAGTAGCTGCTCAATAGGCTTTCTGATGAACAGTCAATATTTGCAGTACTGCTAGAAGAGGATGTCTTTGTATCATGCCTCAACCAAGGGGTCACAAGCAGGTTCGGCAGAAATATGTCCAGACTGAGGGTCAGGAGACCTGGAGGAAAGCTAGAACTCTGCCCCTGTGTAAGTGACCTGGAGAGGTCAATGGTTTGTCTAAGAGATCATACAGGGAACAGAGCTCTAATCTCTATACCACACTGCCAGTCTTCCTTACTCCCAGCTCTGTGGCTTTCCCACTGCCTCACAACTTATGTAGACCAATGGCCACCTTCACTTGAAATCTTTCCTAGCATGGACTCCCAAGACAGCTCCTTTCACTTTGGGACCACTCAAATAGTTACTTTGCCTTTGAGGGCCTCAGTTTCCTCATCTGTAAAAATAGAGATGGTAGAACTTGCCCTGCCCACTTGAGGAGGATGTAATGAAGTTAAAATCAGGTTATGGATCCAAGTCGCTCACAAGTGTGGATTAGCCACTCATGATGCTTGAGCCAATGTAAGGAACCCAGGGCACTTGAGAAAGCTTTGTGAGGTCAGCAGGAGAAATTATCAGTTACTATTCTTCCAGTGTGATGTGGGGAAGGAGGGAGTAGGGGAGGGGAGAAAGAGGAGGTTTAACATCTTCCATCAATTCAGGTCAACCCACAGTACATGGAAAGAGCCCTGAATCTAAAATCAGAGACCCTGGATTCAAATCTTAGCTGTGACATTCCATCGCTATGTGATCTTGTAGG